ACACAAGCCACTGATTTTGCACCAACACTTTAACATTTGAAATGCTTAAATGTTTTATTTTCAGGTGTATTGAATGGATACAAGTCCTGCCGGACACTATCTCATAATATGACTACAAAGCGGGCATTTTTTCGTCAGTCTACACTGCTTTAAAGTGCTACTGTGCGTTTAGCCTTGAAACTCAATAATGAAATGGTCTCTGTACACAACGTAAAGAACATAGGCAAGATTTTCAATCTGAAAAAGAATTGGAGACTTCTTTTGGGTAAAATCTCGAATATTTTGATATTTCAGAGCCCAAATATAACAATTTCGCGCGGAATTTCCAAATCGAAACTCCAACTGATAAGATTGTAAAAAGGGGTGTGCGATAGACTTACCTCCACGTGGTGCACCCTGGGCAATGTATATTCATACGGCAAAAAAGTCTATTGACTGGCAGTTGACTTCTGACTTCAAACTACCATGACCCCACTGTATGTCTTATTCGACTACTTCCCCAGTTCTCACCTCACATTTTTCCACCTTATCTACCTTCGTCTTTGAAACACTCTTCTGTTCTGTTCTGTTTTCACTTCTCATTTCAAACTACCATCACGTCACTGTATGTCATATTCGACCCCTAAACAGTACTCATATTACATTTTCTCTGCCTTTGTGTCTGTCTCTATTACAACTGTAAACCACTCTTCTGTTCCCCATCCCTCGACTTTCTGTTACTTTGATGTTCCTTCCCCCTGTGAAGCTCGAAGTCAGCTAAAGGGGTAATGATAACTATCAAAACGCCTGCCATTTGAAATAAATAAATAAAAGATTGTAAAAATGCACACTGAAACAAATAAGAAATGAAAATTTCACCTTTTGTGTTCAATATTAATAAAACTCATAATATATTTTTATTTATAATGCTAATTTCTTCTTTAAAGTACATAAATGCAATAGCACTGTCGAAATCTATTTGTTACAAATATGTATACTTTAAGTGTCTTCAAGTGGTTCATTTATGATGAGGTTCAATTCTAATGAATGAATGCTACTCTCATGAGTGCCTTATCTACTGAATGGCTTTGGGAATAAATTGTATTACTTCCATACATCTTAATTCTAATAACCAATCAGCATTGAAGATTGAATTCGAGTTCTTGTTTTAAAATATGCGCATCAATATCTCAAGCGCGGGATGTGGGATAGACTTATCTCCACGTGGTGCTCCCTGGGCAACGTATGCTCATACGTCAAAAAAAGTCTATTAACCGACAGTTGACTTCTGACTTCAAACGACCATGGACCGACTGCTTGTCATATTCGACCCCTTCTACAGTACTCATCTTACCTTTTACTCTACCTTTGTGTCTGTCTGCCTCTTTTACATCTTTGAATCGCTCTTCCGTTCCCCACCCCTAGACTTTCTTCTTCTTTGATGTTTCTTCCCCTCTGTGAAGCCCGAAGTCAGCTAAATGGCTCATGATAGCTATCAAAACGCCTGCCATTTGAAATAAATAAAAATAATAGCTATCAAAACGCCTGCCATTTGAAATAAATAAATATCTCAAGCTCAGCTATTCATTAGTACATTGATAAAAAAATTTTAAACACCGCTTTAGCCATCATTATGCTAACTAAAGGAGGTGATATTAGCTTTTGATCTTTAAATTCGAAGGACAATAAACAAAACAAGTCATATTCGTCTTACCTCTTCCATCTACAATATCAAAACTTTAATATATTAAGCTCCCTAATGCGGGTAGAAACCGCCCTAATTTAATTAATAATAAGCATAGAACTGCGTCAAATAAAAGTCGCCCTATCTTCGGTTAAAATTTGGTAAAATGTTTGAAAACGTCATTATTTACTGGATGATATTTGGATATTATTTACAGATTAGAATAGGTGAAGATATAACGCGGATAAAAGTAGAATCAGAAATATTTACAATCTTTGGAATGCAGTTGGGCAGGTGATTAGGCTTCTTAGTAGAGTCCAGCAACGCCTGGCAGCTAGTTCTAACATATGAGTCGTGTACTGAGCAAATAGATCCAACTGAGGAAGGAAGTAATGTGGACAATGCCGGTGTTGAAGACAGGAGATAAGTTGAAGTAAAATTCCGTTGATACGATCTGGCAATGCGTATTCATTCCACTCGTCCTCTCTGGGATGTTTTTCACATTCGTGGAGAAGTAAAGTCTTAATTAGATAATCATGAAGCATCCTGGCATCATTCAAAACTAGATGACGTTCAAAAAGAGTTGTGAGTATGTTAAGGCAAAGTTGGCGTGAGCCTTGACTCAAAAGACGTTCTTCAGCTTCGTAGAAATCTAACTGCCATGCATCACCTTCCGCAGAAGCCTGCTGCTGCTTGTCAGACCTTGTAAAAATTGATTCCTGACTGAGAAGTGTAAACCCTTCATGTTTGACTTCAGCAAGAAGTCGTGGGCAAGGCCAGGCTAGTAAACCGGGTGATGATGCAGTTGGCCAATGATTAGCTGACCTTGGCCAGAGACCCTGACAACGAAAAGCAGGTGTGATTTGAAGGGTGTACCGGTCTCGCACTCGAATCTTCACTTCACTATTATTTCCACTAATGAGTTGAAGGATAGCACGATAAGCAGACTTCTCAATAGCCTGAGCAACGAGACTATGAAACCGCGCACGAATCTTTCGTGCAGAAAGGTAACCAGAAGCGGTGATAAACTCTACCCAAAGTGACATACTCCTCTTCCGACCATCCGAGAGTTTCAAAACCGCTCCTCCAGGAACACTTCCATCGTCAACAAAGTTAAAAACGCCCATCTGATTAAGAAATAAAATAACCTCAAACTCATTTGAAGAATTCACGCGTAGACCTTCATACAAATCAATATCCAGGCCATATTTTTGAGCAAGAATGCTGGTAACTGATCCGGAATTGTTAGTTCCTTCACTGGTTGCTTTCAAGGTGTTTATAAAACGCGGTTCTTGGAGTTCTACTTCGCGAAGAATATCCTGAGCAATTTGGATTACTTCATGGAGATTTCTTGCAATCCCACTGCGTCTTGCTTCGACTTGGGTGTGGATGAAGGATTTCATTGATTGATAAACGGTTGCCATGTGTTTTGGCTGACCTGGTGGGGCCTCCTCATTTTGATGATAGTTAGAAGGGTTGATATCACCTGGAGCGTATGCGGACATGGGTGAAAAATGGTCGAATGCGCGTTTTGCACATCTTTGCTCGTAACGCACAAACCATATGAACGCACGCTTACGATTGGTCCAGGCGCTTGTGATTGCGCGATCTTCCTACAATTTCATTGGTTGTAGGTGTGAAATATGCGACGATAATTAACGTTTACGTAGAGTGAATTGAAGATCTTGCTCAGATATAGTTCTAATTTCAACATTAGATTTTTTCATAAGAACTTTACAACAGTTTTTGTTTATTTAATTCAATTTGCCTCTGTTCTTGAATCAAATTCAAAGTTGTAAATTAAATTTAAAGGAAAACTCTACAAATGCATACACGTTAAAAATTTGTAAACAACCAATTGGTAGCATGGTCACCCTTTAAGATAATTTGTCCAATTTATTTCAAATCTATATTCGTACCATATATATGAGTTCTGAAAATCAAAATGAGAATAATCTCTAAGTCAACTCTGTTAGATTAAAGAAATAAGAAGCATCTTATTCTAGTCAGAAATGAAGTTTAGTGGTAGAACGACCATTCTAACTTAATTATTTGATAAATAAGCTTCAGAACCCAAAAGGGTGAAGACTGAAATTAGAACTTTAAAGATTTAGGTTATGAATGAATTATTTTAATTAATCAGAATCAAGAAAATCAATTGAAGTATGATTCTTTCGAAACTCCTAATTTCTTTTAAGCGTCACCCCGTTCTACTCTTATTGATCGCTTTAATTATTTACATATCTTTGATTCGCTCATGCTTTTAAGAACTGCGAAAATTTACATTAGTGTAATAATGGACTTGAAATTTTAAATTGCTAGAAAAATGCTTTTTTGTTTAATCCTGGAAAATCAGTAGTAAGTACAAAATGAACTCGTAAATGTTTTTTTCTTCTAAATGCTAAAATACTATTTCTACTTTTTACGCAAAAGAAAGACTTTTAAATCATTTATTGCTTAACATTTATTAAATTTGCATCAACCTTTTCAGTTTTAATTAAATTGTTGAAGTATTTTAATCATTTATAAGTTATAATAGTAAATACATTTTTACAACATGCATAGTGCAAATTGTATTCTCTTCTCATTTATTCATTTTCTATCGTTTTAATTTCATTATTTCTTAATTTTATTTTTCCTGCTTCCTCCCATTCCAAATTAATTTAGTTAATTTAAACAAACGAAGGGCAGTTGGGAGGAGTATCGATTTGTTTCCATGTAACTGTCGAATCGCATTTGAATTTCAAGCCTACTCACCTGAGCTTAGCTCACACCAACCACTACCAGACTTGAGTGAGATGAAGAGGGGGGTGAGAAGGGACAACTCGGAGTGATTACTACTCGCGATAACAGCTTACTTTAAGTCGAGTGGAGTGGGAGAGAGTTGGAAAGGGGTGGATGTTAGGTAATTTGATTCTCATTAGTCTTATTTGGAAGGACAGTAGTGCATTAATGGCATTGCTAGGAGTAGCAGCATGCAGCAAAACCTTAGAAAGGGGAGATATGGGGAGTAGATTTAGTTGACAGAAATCTCGGGCAAGAAATGAGAATGAGTGGGGGTGGGGAGGGAAGGTAGTGAGTTAATTAAACGTAGACTGACTCACATCAGAGGTAGGCTTAATGAAATTTGCTTTATTGGGACTGCATTTTCGTCGACTTTAGAGTTAAATTAAACCAAAAAGTGCTATTGATCAAGATGGGAAATAGCTGCCATGGATTTGTAAAATTTGACTATAATTTGTAAAAATTTAGTTAAATAATTATTTGTTGCATTTTACAAACTTATTTCACCACTTTCTTGCAAAAAGGGATTGCTAGGGTCAGTTACTTTTCAATCAAATTAGACAAACCTTTTCTTCATTCCAAGCTGCACTTCAAATAACTCCATCTGGAACTAACTTCATCTTTGAACACATATCTAATCAAGTTTAAACATTTTTGTAAGGAAGGGGTGTGCGTTAGACATACCTCCACGTGGTGCACCCTGGACAACGTATACTCTTATGACAAAAAGTCTACAAACCGACACTTGACTTGACTTCAAATTGTCATGACCCCGTTTTGCGCCATTGAAATAAAGGTAGAACAGTGTTGTAAGGATGTAAAATCGCCATTTATTCCTATTCCAAGCTGAATTCACGAATATCCTGTCCAGAGAAATCGTCCCGAGAGTGGTTGATACTTAGTTACTCTTCTTTCACGTCAAAATGCCGATGATATAAAACCGAGAAAGTAATTCTTTTTATCTGAGTTACAAAAAGTAGGTTTTACATGTTTAAAACTCGCAAGAAAACTTTTGTTCTCCATTTTTTGGTCCAAGGCCATCCCAAGCATATAATTGGCTACATGTTGACGTAGTTCTATATTGCTATTAATTTGAACAACAGTGCTGATCAGTAAATGTTTAAAGAATCAAGGAAGTACTCTAAATGGCGAGAGGTCCTAAGTTTTGCATTTTAAATTTTACGAAAAAGAAGAGCAAACAAAATAGATGTGAGTTTCCTAGTAAAACCATGGATATATCTAATCCGATTAATTCTAACCATTGGTAGATTTTCTGTGATAATGAAGCTATGCAATGAACAGATAAACTTTAATATTATCGCACGATCATGTTTTCAAGGATACAATGAACCTCTTCATTGATCTTCTAATACCGTTAATTAAATTTATTTATTTCAAATGGCAGGCGTTTCGATAGTTATCATTAGGAAGTGATTCACGGACGAAAAAGAGACAGACAAAAGGTAGAAAAAGGTGAGGTGAGTACGGTTGAAGTAGTCGAATTTGACATACAGTGGGGTGATGGTAGTTTGGAGTCTGAAGTCAACTGCCGGTTAATAGACTATTTTGCCGTACGAGTATACGTTGCCCAGCGGTTTATAGACTTTTTGCCGTATGAGGTCTGTTGCCCAAATATGACATACAGTGGGGTCATGGTAGTTTGAAGTCAGAGGTCAACTGCCGGTTTATAGACTTTTTGCCGTGTTAGGGTTAGATCAACTGCCGGTTTATAGACTTTTTTGCCGTATGCGCATACACAATGACATACAGTGGGGTGATGGTAGTTTGAAGTGAGAAGTTGTGACATATAGTGGGGTGAGGGTAGTTTGAAGTCAGAAGTCCACTGCCGGTTTATAGACTTTTTGCCGTATGAGTATACTTTGTAACATACAGTGGGGTCATGGTAGTTTGAAGTCAGAAGTCAAGGCATACAGTGGGGTCATGGTAGTTTGAAGTCAGTGGTCAACTATACAGTGGGGTGATGGTAGTTTGAAGTGAGAAGTCAACTACCAGTCAATAGACTTTTTTCCGCATAAGTATACGTTGCCCAGGGTGCACCACATGGAGGTTGTAAGTACACGTTGCCCAGGGTGCACCACGTGGAGGTATGCCGTTTGAGTATACGTTGCCCATTGGTTTATAGACTTGTTTGCCGTATGAGTATACGTTGCCCGTCAATGGGGTGATGGTAGTTTGAAGTGAGAAGTCAACTGCCACAATGGGGTCATGGTAGTTTGAAGTTAGAAGTCAACTGCCTTTAATAGACTTTTTTGCCGTATGAGTATACGTTGCCCAGCGGTTTATAGACTTTTTGCCGTATGAGGTCTGTTGCCCAAATATGACATACAGTGGGGTCATGGTAGTTTGAAGTCAGAGGTCAACTGCCGGTTTATAGACTTTTTGCCGTGTTAGGGTTAGATCAACTGCCGGTTTATAGACTTTTTTGCCGTATGCGCATACACAATGACATACAGTGGGGTGATGGTAGTTTGAAGTGAGAAGTTGTGACATATAGTGGGGTGAGGGTAGTTTGAAGTCAGAAGTCCACTGCCGGTTTATAGACTTTTTGCCGTATGAGTATACTTTGTAACATACAGTGGGGTCATGGTAGTTTGAAGTCAGAAGTCAAGATGTCAACTGCCGATTAATAGACTTTTTTGCCGTATGAGAAGTGATAAGTCAACTGCCGGTTAATAGACTTTTTTGCCGTATGAGTGGGTTGCCCAGGGTGCACCGCGTGGAGGTAAGTCTATCGCAACAACTGCCGGTTAATAGACTTTTTTGCCGTATGAGTATACGGTGCCCAGGGTGCACCACGTGGAGGTAAGTCTAAATATACATTGCCCAGGGTGCACCACGGAGGTAAGCCGAATGAGAATACGTTGCCCAGGGTGCACCACGTGGAGGTAAGGTGTAGTATACATTGCCCAGGGTGCGCCACGTGGAGGTAAGACCGTATGATTATACGTTGGCCAGGGTGCACCACGTGGAGGCCGTATGTACCTTTTGCGGTATGAGTATACATTGCCCAGGGTGCACCACGTGGAGGTAGCCGAATGAGAATACGTTGCCCAGGGTGCACCACGTGGAGGTAAGGTGTAGTATACATTGCCCAGGGTGCGCCACGTGGAGGTAAGACCGTATGATTATACGTTGGCCAGGGTGCACCACGTGGAGGTACCTTTTGCCATATGTGGATACGTTGCCCAGGGTGCACCACGTGGAGGTAAGTCTAAATATACATTGCCCAGGGTGCACCACGGAGGTAAGCCGAATGAGAATACGTTGCCCAGGGTGCACCACGTGGAGGTAAGGTGTAGTATACATTGCCCAGGGTGCGCCACGTGGAGGTAAGACCGTATGATTATACGTTGGCCAGGGTGCACCACGTGGAGGCCGTATGTACCTTTTGCCATATGTGGATACGTTGCCCAGGGTGCACCACGTATTTTGCCGTACGAGTATACGTTGCCCAGGGTGCACCACTTGGAGGTAAGTCCCGTTAACTAAATTATTCTAATATATTTACCATTCTTTTATCTCAATGTTTGGCAAACTAATTAGATAATTCAGTATTCCTTATTCCCTTCTATATACCGCTCATTTTAATCTTTCTCAATCTTCCGTAACGTTAAGTAATTTTTTCTCATTCTTAGATTTGGCCATTATGCTCTCCCACGTGCTCTAATAAAGCATTCTTAAATCTTCTTCGTAATACAAA